CTGATCTACTGAAATTGGTTTCATCGAATCGAAGTTTATGGAATTTTTAAAATATATCCATTAATCGAAATTTCAAGATTATATAAGCTTATAGATTTATCACTGCTTATCGAATTTTATCGTGCTAAGTCCTGCTGAAGTCCAAAGACCTTCTAAGATAAAAAAACTTTAGTTTCGTTTTAGTTCCAAAGCAGAAGATGTTCCGGTAAGTTAATTTGTATCGTATAAGTTTTGCTACGTGTTAAGTTAGAAACCCTCTCCAAGGCCCCTAAAAACTAGAAAAACTGTCGAATTTCGACAGTAACTGGCACTCTACACTCTAAAAAATTTTTGTTTAAATTTGCGCATATTAAGATAGGTAACCAGTTTCCTCTCTTAATGAATGCAAATTTAAACAATGCTTGCTTACTTTTACTTATCATATGTGTGGCGTAGAACAAATTTCAAATTTGTTTTTTGAGTTTTAAACATTTATTGTTCACATTTTCACAGTTTACACATAAAATGTTTTAAATTTCCTCTAAAAAATTTTCCTTTAAATTTACGCATATAAAGAGAGGTAACCAGTTTCCTCTCCTAGTGTGTGCAAAATTAAACAATGTCTGTTTACTTTTACATATCAAATTTGTCACGTAGCGCACACAAGGGCTGGGTTTTGGGGCTAAATTTATTATGATATAGGAAATTTTGAAAGAAAAAATTTTCTTTTCCATTTCTTGTGCGTCATTTTGTAAGAATTTTTCTTTTTTTCTTGAGAGCTCTTTAAAGTTTAACTACGAATGAAAACATTGTCCTAAAAATATGCAATGCATACTCACTTACTGTTGCTTTTTACACTTTACAGCCTAAAAAAGTTTACCACTGATATGTACTTAATAAGCATTCGAAGATTTAATTTGCTAACTTCGAATTCGTTCCACCAAAATGAGCTACATGATAAAAATACAAGTTCAGCTAAATTTTCGTTATTCGAATTATTAAAAAATGAGAAACCAGAAATCGACGAAAATTAATAAAAAAGTGTAAAAATTTCGTGAAATTATTTAATTTATTGATATTAAAATTCTTTTGTAAAATTTTGTATTACTTTTGAAAGTTGAGTGCATCTTTACCCGTAATTTTTTCATGATTAAATGATCGGATCTAAGCCAAATTACGAGACGACCCTTAAGGTACCATCTTTCCGGTAAAAAAAATAATTATTGGAATCGGTTCACGCGGTGCAAAGTTATGCGGTGGAATAAATAAAAGAAGTAAAAATACTCCGAAGAATTGATAACCTCCCCTTTTTTGAAGCCGTTTAAAAATGTCTGAGTCTTTGTAAATTTTATGTAAATAAAATGCAATTGATGATACTTTAAAAAGCTTATTTATTTATTTCATACTGTAAATAAAACTTTCATAAATGTATTTTAAATAGCGAATTTTCAGTATTTGCTGATGATATATGTTTAGAATTATAAACCCTTTCCCCCCAAAAATATATTCCTGCGTGCGCCCCTGGCACTTAGTATTTATTATTTGTAAAAAATATATTTTTACTTTCAAAATGTTTGTAATTTTAAACATTTCATGTGTATATTTTAAACAACTCATGTCCAAAATCAAATCTTGAACATCTTGTGCGTATACTTGAACAGATTCTGGTTGAAAAATAAACACTTTTCAGTAGTAGTTTTACATGCACTTTTTAGAGTGTACGCGGCAAAGTGGGTATGTAAAAGTAAACACATAGTGTTTAATTACACGGTGTGTAAATTTGCACACAATAGGAGAGAAAACTGGTTACCTCTCTTTATATGCGTAAATTTAAACAACAAGTTTTTTGAGCAAATTGTAAACATTTTATGTAGTAACTGTGAAATTGTGAACAATCAATTTTTAGAATTCAACAAGTAAATTTGAAATTTGTTCTACGCCACACATATGAAAAGTAAAATTAAACAAGCAATTTTTACTTTAATTACCACGGTGTGTAAATTTGCATTCAGTAAGAGAGGAAAATGGTTACATATCTTAATATGCGCAAATTTAAACAAACATTTTTTAGAGTGTATGGAAATAGTTATGTTTTCGTTCACTACGGCATTAAGTGGGGACTTCACTCTGTCTATGTGGGAGTCTAAAGTTTTCAGGACTGCCTTCAAGCGATGAATTTTTGAAATATTTTTGGCCACTTGTTTACATACTGCGGTCGAAAATTTTATATTATTGTTATTTTTTGTATAAAAATAGGGTTGGCGAAAATCCCCGTAGCTATATTCTCCCCGCGGGTGCCGACTGGCAATGGGTGGCGTGGCCCACACCGCTTGCCGCTCGGGCTATTGCACCGGAAAGCGGCGATACAGGCTGGCGATATCTAGCTAAGGCCGGTATATAGTCTTGTCCGTCCCCTGCAGGTGCACTTCTATGTCTACGCTACCGCTGCAGGGTACGGCTAGGGTATATAGTACCTGGCGGTAGGTATAAACCGCTAGGGGTTGAGGTTCCCCTATAGGGTGAAAAGAAACGGGACGGGGTATCAGCCCAAAACGTCGGTGGAAGCAGTGGCTGCAACCACTGGTGGCCACGGCGAGCCTGCAAGCCGTGTGGGCAGTGGTCACTTCCTGCTGTGAAGGTAGCAGTTCACAGCAGTTGCACTGCTAGTGCCAAGCAACAATCGCAACACAGAGATGCCGGAGCTCCTCAAGACTCGGCCTCGAAAGCGTCGTATGGTGGACAAAGACGTCCTTCTACGCTCTACTGCAAAACCCCAACTTCTTCAGAGGCCACGACAAGTTCCAGGCTCCAGCCCAATAAATAGGGGATGAAGGCGAAGTAGCGGTTCAAGGCAGCCCTCAAAGTTCATGAGAGACTGAACCAAAAAAAAAAGTCCGGTCAAGCGAAGGAGGAAGAAGAATGACTGGATTGGGCTAAGTCCGAAGTCGAAAGCGGGGAGCTCACTTCGTAACAAGAGAAAGATTGAACTCCTCAGATCCGATGTTCGCAAACCGGTTTGAGGAGGCCGTGATGAAAAGGCCACGCTATGCAAATGGGCGATGCATAAGGGCAAGGCTGTAAAACCTTACGTCAGATCCGACCTCAAAAAAACCCACTACGTCGAGGGCTGCAACGGAGATGGCCAGTAAGATTGCCAAGAGATACCTGATCGTGGCATTTATTGACCGAAGCAACCCGCTGGGCCAAATGCCACAAGAGCGGTGGAAGGTGGATGAAATGCACTGCTTCAGGTAAACCTGCACAAAATAAAGTCGCTTCAACCGAGCTCCTCCTCAACCTAGAGGTATGCGGCTACGATATGGCCTTAGTCCAAGAGCTCTGGATAGCCTCGGGTAACAAGGTCTAAGGACTAAAGTCACAAAATTATGTAACATACACCCCGAGTCCAGACAAAAAGGTAAGAACTGCGGTACTGGTTTAAAAAAGTATAAACTCTTATATTAACACTAATCTCTCCACAAACGATTTAACCGTATAGACACTTAAAAATGCAAAAAAAGGAACCACTACTTCTTGAATCATGCTACATGTGTCATGAAGAAGATGGGCCCCCGCCCGAACTCCAGAGGTTGGAGGCACCAGCCGACAAAGAGCGTCAGCGCTGTTGGTAGGATCTTACGCAAACTCGCATCACACTGTTTTGGGGAGCGCGGAAATCAATGAAAGAGGTGAGTGTCTACTCAATTTCATTATTCAAAGTAGTCTAGAGTTCGCAAACTGAGGTATTGAGCCAACATATATATACCCACCTCGAAGAACGTTCTAGATATAACGCTTTTTACAAATAAAATGACACGGGTAGATAACTGGAAGGTGTTAGATACACCATCATTCTCTGATCATAAATACATCGAATTTAATATTGCCTTCCTCCCAAGTCACAAAACAACGACCCTGGAGAACCCAAGAAACACAAACTGGGATCTCTATAGGAAGATTGTGGAAGCGAAAAAAATCGAGCTAAAAGAGGTCAGCAAGCAAGCTCAGATCGAAATAATGTGGTGCTAATCACTACGGCTCTCAGCAAAGCTTACAAAATTGCATGCCCTCCAGTGCGCACTAAACAAAGATCCAAGCCCCCGTGGTGGAACAGGGAACTTGGACAGCACAGGCGCGAAGTACATGAGCTCTTTAAGCTGTGTAAGGAAGCCGACAATGAGTTCTGCTGGTAGGAGTACAAAGACCTCTTAAAGTGCTATAAGAAAGAAATCCGTAGGTCCAAGAAACAATCATGGAAGGACTTCTGCGGCAGCATGGAGAATATAAAGGAAGTGGCTAGGTTAAGGAAGCTACAGTCCAAGCTACCGTCCACGCCAACGTTAATACGCAGGAACGATGATAAATGGACTGAAAGCTGCGAAGAATCGCTGCAGGTCCTAGTCGATATGCACTTTCCAGGATGTGTAGACATGACAGATGTGGAATCTGGAAAAGAAAACGTGAATGACATCCCACCCAACACTATTACAACAAGCAAGTTTGAATGGGCAATAAACAGTTTTGATCCATGCAATTCGCCTGGAGGCGATATATATGAGACATCTGAGGCTGGGCTATGAGCCTGTGTACTGGAGTGATTCGAGAGTTGTGTTCATACCCAGGGCAGGTAAAGCCAACCCTCTATACTAGAAGGAATACAGACCCATCAGTTTAACCTCAGTCCTCCTAAAAAAGGCAGCATAATGCAAGGCAGCCTATCCAAAGCGCAACAGGCATACACAAAAGGCAGATCGATAGAGACTGGAAAATGCTGGAAAACAAGATTTATGCCTTAGTTGTGTTCCCCGACATCGGCGACGCTTTTAACAACGTATCAAGAGAAGCTGTTCCAGGTAGCCAACAAGAAAACAACGTGGAACCTGCTATTCTTCTATGGATAAAAACTTTTTAGCTGTAGACAGATTAGAGCAGAATGCGATGAAGCCAGGCTAACTAAGCACGCGGTAAACGGCACATGACAGGGGGTGCTCCCAAACCAAAAGACCGTGCTAAGTACCTTGGAATAATCCAGGACTGCAAACTGCTGTGGAAGTACAATGTGGAGGGCAGAGTGGAGAAAGGGGGTAATGCCCCTACGCATGTAAAAAGACGATAGGTATTACTTGGGGCCTATCCCCTGCCCTAATGCATTGGTGCTAGCCAGCAGTAGTGAGGCAAATATTACTCTATGCCGCTCTGGGGTGGTGGACCGCGACAGAAAGTAGCACTTATGTTATTATAATTGTAATGTTAAGGCAATGGAGAGTGTTTAACGTCTCTATCTATTGTGTAGAACAGGAGCCCTGAGAACAACTCCAGCCGCAGGACTGAAACAAATTCTCAATACAACACCTATCGACCTTGCGACAAAGAGCCTTGCTGCTAAATCCGCTGGGATACTGATTGCAACAGGATAGCTCAATAGCCAAAGGGCATCTAGCCACCACAGACTACATCGTGCCTTGCTATAACTGGGACAAGGAGTTTCGGGTTACTATCCAAGAAAACGGATTATGTTGAGGCATGAAGCCTACCAGGCAGGCCATAAATAGGGAAGCAGCAACCAGGCGACTGCATATTTATTGGGACTCCGGCCACAAGGGCATTCCAGGTAACGAAATTGTAGATGAGATTGCCAAGAGCGGAATCCGCTTGGTTCTAGAGCAAGAGAATAACATTCCAACTAAAAAAATCTGTATAGCGGGATAGACTAGAGGGTGAAAAAGCAGACTATATCGAGATGGAATGCGTTAAACACCTGCAAAATCTCTAAAGTCATCTGCATAATGGAACACAGGACACAAACCCGGTGAATACTATCGCTGGCTCGAAGAGACTGCAGAACTATGATAGGTGTCCTAACAGGACATAACATGTTGGCAGCGCACGCAAGCAAAATAGGGATTGCTGTCAGTGAAGTTTGCAGGAACCATGCATTTCCTGCATGGGAACAAGGGAGACTCTAGAACACATCCTATGTCCTGCTGTATCAGAAACACGATTGAAATATATCGGAGCTCCAGAGTTTAATAATCTTGACGACGTGACAACACTTGGGCTTCAAGGACTTGTGAAATTCTCAAAAAGCGTTGACATCCTAAATGATGTATACAGTATATTTTGCTTTGCTTCCTTTATGCTTAAGTGCACATTTAAGACACCTACCCCAAAATGTGCATCTGAGGCATCATTTTTCACACTTATAAGAAAACTGCTCCGATAGATGCATTCAACATACCTGCACATTGGCGATACCTGCTTTAAAAATTGTGCAGCTAGTATCAATTATTAAAGGAAATATTACGTTTACTGCATTGACCCTACAATTACCTAATTTTACAAGCTTTTATTTATTTTGCTCATATCGCAGAACAACGAAAATGGCCATCATTTTATGTAGTTATATAGATAATTAGATACCATTCGGAAAAAACTTCGCTTGTGGTATTTTCTACGTGATAAGTGCTTCTCCATTATTTGGTTTCATAGGGATTCGGATACCTTCCCCATTGAAGTAGTAAAGAAAATTCTCTTAAATGTTTTTTTTCGGTTAGGAGCACAAGTTTTTCGTGCAAAGAAGGATGTGCAGATAAGCGAAATATACTGTACCTCGATTATACTTAAATAAACATCTATCTCCATCTGGCATTACTAGGGACCTATTGGTATATGTGGGGTGGGGTCAGCCAGCCAGAAAACCTAACTTACCCTATAGAAATATAGTTATTTCTTGAACAGAACTCGTATAAAACCAACTTTCAAATTTTGTTCAATTGAATTCTAGTTGTTCAATTTGAATTCTAGTAGAATAACGCACACGTTTACAATCGGTAAAAATTACCGTTGATTTTTTAGAATACCCTCATAAAAAAGTCCAATGATGCCAAGTTGGATGATCTCAGTGGTCAAATGACATCCTCTCTACGGGAAATTAAGCGCCTGATAATCCTCTGTTGAAATGAACCATTCCATGACACTGATGCCGTCAATTATTTTGTGGCCTGAGCTTTGTTTGGATGGAGATGTATATCGAAATGTAAAATATACAATTAACCGTAAGATAGTACTATGTTCTTAAAACGACACGCAATCGACAAATTTGTTTCTTCGGCCACACTTCGGTTTGAAATCCTCACCAAACGTTTCTGGTGGTGTGGTTTTCAGCGCATGTTTGTACAGTTCTGAACATAAAATAAATTTGGTAATGATGTGGCAATACTGCTTATGACATGTACATTGCAATTTACATTTTGGAATTCAGCCTATATTTTATTATACGTATTTATCAGATCAATAAAAAATATTTTAGTTTAGTTAAATTAATTAGATATCAAAGCACATATAAAATTTTGTTTTGATATTGAAAGCTTAACGATACGCATACGATAGTTTTGCGCAAAGAGGTCGCTATGCAAAGTGCATTAAAGTATTTACGTAATTATCTCTCGTTTGATTCTTAAAGCATTTCGGTCAATATACATTAGTGTTTTACTAAATGTGTAAACATAAATACGTATGGGTATTTCCATGCGTCGCGTACGTGACATACAACCAAGGAAACAAGGAAAAACATATATTATCTTTTACTTCTTTGGATCCGCATATTTACACTTGCATACATATGCACAAGTATATTTAACCGAACAAAATTATAGTTTAAAAAACTTAAACCTCCCTATTATAATTGCCATTCGTACTGTCATCAGGTATGTAACTTGAGAATAGAAATCGCTGCATCTTTTAGGCGCATCAATATTACATAGTTACATCCCGAGTTCATAAAAGGAAGGTAATAATAATAATCTTATATATTATTTCTCTAAGGTGGGTTTTTTGTTAGTCTCCCCTTTTCTTCTTTTCTATGTAAGCAATTCCATTAATGAGGTGTCATTTGAAAAGTCAGAGGTCCCCTGAGTGGTTATTAGGTAATATTAATGGTCATAACACCTCTGAAGGCAAGAAATTTGTAATTTTATTTTTGTTTTTAATTTACTATTCTTAAGCAACACTAAAAGTATTTTGTACTGAAGCACTATTGTGACTGCAGCATCGCATACACCGTATACGACAGTGGTGGGCGCACACATCTTATATATTATTTCTCTAAGGCGTTTTTTTGTTAGTCTCCCTTTTTATACATTTCTATGTAAGCAATTCCACTAATGAGGTGTCATTTGAAAAGTCAGAGGTCCCCTGAGTGGTTATTAGGTAATATTTATGCTCATAGCACCTCTGAAGTCAAGAAAT